ACGTGTAGAGCAGATCTGTACCCAAGTGGCGTAGAATCCCTTTCGTCTGTTATGTTTTTTTTTTGACACCAAAAGAAAACAAAATTCTGGCAATATTTACGGCAAAGGTAGGGACAGGGGGAGGGCAGAAATGGGACTGCTGAGGAGGTGGGAGGCATTGTTTTTCACCTATTGTATGAAGTTGTGATTGCGGGCGCCACCAAAACGAGTGATTACATCTCTTTTGACCAAAAAAAATTGTTTAAACAGTAGACCCGCTTTTGTATAACAAAACAATGCAAGGTTTGAATTCTGGTGAATGGTGACCTGAACACTAAAAAAAGAGCACTTTTGCAGCTAAGGAGAGGGGAGTGAGGGAAATGAATCTCTCACTAACCTTGAGGCGTTGATCCAACGGTCGTTTATAGTTTGGATGAGCCTTGTAGGCAGATGAGAGCACTCCTTTACTTCCTCGATAAATCAGTAAGGTGACGAGGTAAACTACTTGATGCACAGCCACTACCACCGCCAGAAGCCAATCAAAAAGTCCAGCAAAGAGTGTGAAGGTGATCAAGCGTATAGTGATATGGACGAAACGAGCAAAGAAGAGTAGAATCCTCCCACTGGCCGAGACTAGGTGTTGATGCCGATGGGCTGGGGACCGGAGAAGCTCGGAGCAGGGAAGGTAGTGTGCATCTGGTTGAAATTGACACGCCGCAGAGGTTAGCCAGATGATGGAGAAGATAAAAGCACCCAGAATAGCGCCCGCTGTAAGGAAGGATGATCAGGTGATTGATGCCGTACCTGCCTTTAACTACCATTTAGGACAAGTAGACTTAATAATTAATCACTGAAAAGCATATCCAATGGTAAATTCTTAAGAAAAGCTGTTCACAACGATTTAAGAGAATAACATTCAAAATAACATAACTACTTAAATGGTAGTGAGTAGAAATGCGCAAACTTACAAGTTGAAGTGGGCATCATGCGGTTTAGCAAGAGCCGACGGAAGTACAGCACACCTTGAGCTATCGCGAAGGGTCCAGCACCAATACTGGCATTCGCCAACGCCACAACACAAGCATCAAAGTCGAACTGGACAAAGAGACGACGTAGTCGGCGTAAATTCTCAAGCTCAACAGAGGCTGCGCTGGAGACAACGGGCTCTAAAGTCAATTGATTTAAAAAAGAGACACCTGTTACTCCGATGTGAACGGTTCACTTAGAATAGTTGATGGACAAAACATCAGCATAGAATGAAGCACATGTCTCCCAACCCCCTTTTCAAATGTTGCTACCGAGTTAAGTCGCGGAGAATGAAGGAACTGTCATCTTCATTAAGTTATTTCGGTTTCTAAACTACACTACCTCGGGGATTCATGGGAGCCACATCACGATACTGAAATTGACGAACTTTGGGAGGCGGTTTGTCTTCCGTGCCTTGACGACGCTCCAGTCGACTCAGTCGCCTATAAATTGCCAGTAGCTCCACGTACCTAGGATGTTTTAAAATCACCATCAGATATGAAGCAACATCCGATAGTTCCACTACTACTTCATAATGATTAGGGACTGACACAGTATATTCACCAAGACTAGATTCCAAATAAGCATGTGATGCGATCATCGTGTCACTACAAGCATTCATGAGGCCCATTGTTCACACACAGATTCTGCGCTTTTAATTTTGGAGTTGCTATAGCAACGTCCCAAGTTTACCTGTGCGCAACAGGAATGAAAAGCGAGATGACTTCTGCCGCCCATTTCCTCGATGCCATTGAGAGCTACAAAGATTACATGTGAAGCCAAAAGTTGTGTGTAAAAGCCTTCAAATTGGACTTCCAAACCAACCAAAATCAGGTAATTCCGGGATAATTTGATCTTTTAGTTGAAAGCTGAGTTAGACCTTTGCACACATTTCATGCTACTCATATCGATTTCAGCGACCATCTTCTAGATTGCGTTCGGAGATTCATTGTTTCTTCAATATTTTCCAAAAAATATTGCTAAGTTCTGCTAAAAACATTGCCTAGCAATACATGTCTAGTAGCACTGCTTTAATAAGGCAAAGAGAGGTGATATTTATTGGTTCATCAGAAAATGTGAGCTCTCCACCCGACTGTGATTTCGCTTCCCATTGGGGACAATCCAGAGCCTCCAAGCTCCTTCAATAGGGAGTAACAGCCAGACCAAAAGAATCAAAGAGGAGTCTAAATTTGGGGAAAGTTGCCTTTGATTTAAATGCTGTTTCCGAAGAGCTACAAAAGTCACATTTGATCATCAAATTTGGCTCTACAGTTCTGTATTGGCCATGCAACCCGGATGTGCTCCACTAGTTCCGGAATTCAACACCCTACACTCTCTGAGTGGGACCGCCTCTCAACACAAGAACCAACCTAGACAGCAGCATCGAGGGCCGAGTCCAAGGAGGAGGGGAAGGGAAAAGGCGGCATTTGCTTCGCTGTAAAGACCACCAGATGGGGTTACCAGCACCTGCAGTGCATCGCCCTTCTCGAAGGGACGGACATTCATGTCCCGTCCCTAGCCTGTTCTCCCCTCATGCATACTTTGTAAAAAGGATAGGCTTTCTGAGAAGACCTGCCAACCTTCGACAGCCTTTCTGCATCGCATTGCAGGTCGGGAAAACTGATTTCATTCACCAATGCTCGAAATATCGGTGGATTTCGGAATGTAGAGCCTCAATGGTGACTTCAAACTCCTGATCGCTTCATGTCAAGTGAGGCGTGGAGGATTCTCTTGACACTCACAACCCACAGACGGGAAGAAGTAGTGATAGAGGAATGGAGAGAGCGACTGTTGACTGTAGCAGCCATCGCTGCGTTTCGTAACTAAAAATATTTGAGCATTTCGTTTATTAAGATCCTCTTTATCGTACTAAACTAGTCTTATTCCCTTTTTCTAGCCTATTTCCACCTCTTCATGACTGCCAGAGGTGTAGTGGAGCACAGAGAACGCAATAGACGGTATTGTGAGCAAAGGAAGGACACAATAGTGATTTAGCAAAACAGCCAACCTTGCAATCGGCGCCATACCAATGAGGGAAAGGGCGGCACGAGTGCATATCCACGCCTCGTGGTTCGCCTCATCCACCTTAGATCGAGTCTGTGTCTCTGCGCTCCTCCAACGGCGGTAGAAGAGAACCGAAGTCACCACTCCGGAGGCTATGGAAAGTGTAAGTCAACTTAGTAAAAGTTTGCCTACTGTGCATAACACCACGGCCATTTGATTGGTCAACGTGACACCTTGATTGGTCAGCAAAGTAACAATTAACAGTCATTTAGCGTTTGATTTACAAAGAAATAAAAGAATGTTCCAGAGAAAATAGTATTTACTGCGAAAAAAAGGAAGCACTGAAAAGAGGAGGTGTGAAGTAAGTGAACTTTTCGTAGACCTCCGATTACAAGCACAAAAACATTGGGTGTTAGTAAGGAGAGAGTCATGTAACGACCGAGCCCGTATCCGAAAACAACTGCCCTGAGAATGTGTTGCTGGTGATCACAAAACTGTCTTTCATGCTGAAGAGACGCAAAATTTGATTAGCATAGAAGAAGGTGGAAGGAGTAGGTAGATTTGCAAAAAGGGCATAAGCATCTCAGGCTGCCGCCTCTCAACCTCCATTCTACTTTGGTGTTTACAACAGCACATAAAACGATCAGATGAAAAAGTACAGAAGCGAATTTGGCAATAAGTTGTGGACGTAATCAGTGGTGGTAAGGATTCAATTTTGAAGGAGAAACGCACTACAAGTGAATGCTTTTGACTTTTGTCAATGAGAACAGACATTAAAGCTATTGGCTACTAATGTATATGAATGAGAAACACATACTACTCATTAAACTTAATTAAGTAGTTAAGGAGTCCATGCAAAATAAATGCCTTATTTGCTCTCTAGGCTTATTTAAGCTCAACTTTAAAGGGACACGCCGCCGGCTTACGTCAGTTTTTCTTACTCAAAAAAGGTCATTAAGTCGCCTCTACCCAGGTTAAAATGAGGTTAATGTAGGCTACAAACTACTAATATCAGGATTCAGTACTCAGTTCAGTCTCATTCGACCCCACGACGTGCATCCACTTCAGAAATTTTTCTTCCCTTACGCACACACCCTGCTGAATTTGGGTAGAGAAGCAATTAATACACTTGCTGGTGGGTCACTCCAAAGGGCATTTAGGAAGCAGAGGATGCAAGTTAATTATTCATGCAGCAAGCAATTTAAATGAGCGCAAAGTGACGCAAAACATCAAACACAACCCCACACAGACTGTGAAAGGAAAGCGGCCAATCCTATCTGCCTCGACTGCCATAACATAACATCTGGAGGAGGTTGTGCTAATGAAGGGATACAATGAAGGAAGTAGGGAGAGCATCTCCCTTCTTCCCCCTCATTGGCTAGCGATGTGGTGGCAAACGACATGACAAGTTGATCAACCTTAAAACTTGTTCACATTAACCAACGTACAGAACAAAAGTTCTACTTAAATGACATCCAACACAACCACTCCTTTCAAATGGCCCCCTGGAACTGCATCAAAACTTGCGTTGGAAGAGGAACAGTGGATGCAATGATTAGCATCATCTGTATGGGTGGGTGCGGAAGAATCTTGTTAATCACGTCATCAGAGTGACCAGACAACAGACTGGAAAATAATGCTGCATCAACACTGTCGACTGTTTCATGCTAATGGCACACCTTATTACGAATTTAAGAAAGCCCCAGACGCTATGTCGGCAAAAAAAGACGCCTTCAGTAGGTCGATTGACAAGCCTTAAAATCACAGAAGACGTCACTAAAAACTCTCAAAATGTCACCCACAAACAGTGAATGACTTCACTCACAACACAATCCGAACAGCCTATCCGACATTCCGCCCCCAAGTAAGACATTTTGAGCCACAGGGTAGAAGGGAGGAAAAGCGATGTACAACCGGATGTGGTTTTGGGTGCGGTTTAATTTCAATTGGTTCGTACCACACATCAACGACAGTGCTGGGAGGGAGGGAAGGGAAAAAAAGGGGTTTCAATTAGGCCGACGGATAAGTTGAGGCGATGGTCTTTGTGCCGTGTAAAAGTACCACCAAATACCTTGGTTAGGACCTCTAAACAATACAAGTAAGAAGACGCATCCTCCACCTCTTCCAACACCTCAGTGTTGAGGTGATATCAACAAAACAACACAACAGTTGATGATGCCTTTACCAGCACATCCTATTTCCCTTTTACAACTAAAACATTCATTAACAAAAAATAATTTTGCTCT